TGCCGGCTGGGCTTGAACCACGACATGCATATACAGAAAGATGCATATATAGAAAAATAGCTTTCAAAATGTGCTAGATTTGTGCTCCTGTTACTTTCTGATTATTCTCTATTGTTAGGCTACTCCTCACTTTTCCAGTAGTTTGAGAGTTGGTTTAATTTCAACACCCTTACGCATTGTCAATTTACATATACTTGTTTTCAGTGTTACCGTTTTCCCTTATACAGTTCTCCATCTCTCTATACTTCATGGTATTAAAGAGAAAACAGTATTTACTCAAACTATTTTTACTCTAAGCCAATAAAAAATCATCATGCTCCTTAGTTTGAGTCTTCTGGATCAAATCCATATGGGCATTAAAAGCATAAAAAATGCCACTATGCCTTTTCTCTTTAAAATGGACCTTTAAAACTCATACCGGAAAGAAAGCATGTTTAAAAATTATGAGAAAGCAACACTTCTGTTTCATGATTACAGCTCACTCTCAGCTTATATAATGGTCAGCTTTTTAGCTATTTTCCACTCAACAGACCAGACGTTGCCATTTCATCAGCCACATCTAGGGCAGGACAGCTGCCTGGGTACTGGGAATACAAACAGTACTGATTATCTTTCAGCATGTCATTCCACAAAGACATTAGAGTAAAGACTACCTTTAGCAATCAGGAGTTTTCACAATGTTCCTCTGCAAATCACAGATGGCGTATCAATGAAGATGGCATATCAGTAGAAGACTACTGGTATTTAAATCTCTCAGGATTTTATTTCAGTATCACAACATAATGAATTCAGAGTGACATAATGAATTCATAATGACTTCAGAACATTAGCATTGACTGTGAGTCCCTAGCAAATCAAGGCACTATCCTTTTCTCTCCCAAGCAGATAACCCTACACATCCTTAGACAGCTTACACCAAAATTTTGTGTGGGTAAAATTTTTTTTCACCCCTAGTGCTGTCTAAAACAGATTAATCACTATCAATACGCAGGTTTTTCTAACTCCCTGCCTACCTTGGAAGTAGAAAGATATCCTTTAAATCAGTTTTATACACCTTGGTATTTAGGCTACAGAGTTAAGATATTTGCAAAGTGGACTTTATTCCGAAGTACGTTTCTTGTCACACACAGGAGTTACCATGATTGCACTGAAATTGTAATTTCATTTACAACTGCAAATGAAAAACCAAGCACTTAAATTCCATTAACATTTTCTATACTCATTGCAAAAAGCAGCTCATTTTCTCCATTCCCCTCCATCAGATGAACCACAGTGGTTACAGACAAATTCTCTGGCCCATCGCTTAGGTTGATGCATTTGATTTGTGTTCTTCCTGAATTGCTGAGAATAGTTCAATTTTATGGGATACAGCTGGAACTGCAGTTGGTCCTACATAGAAATTAATCATTTATTTTTTCAACACAAGGTAATTTGGTGATTTTGAAAACCAAATTTCAAATATCTGTAAAAACTGCAGAAATATAGATATAATGAAACTAATGATTTAAACAAACGTGTAACACAGCTAAACCACCATTTTTCCTTATTTACACAGACATTTTTTAACTGGAGAAATACTATTCACATCTGTAGTAAGAGAACAAAGAACTGCTAGTACTGCACAACCACATATTTCCACTGAAAGTGGATGTCAATGTCTTGGGAAGGTGAAAAACCCCAAAAATTTCAGCAACTCAGATAGCATGAACTGGATTACTGCCAGGGAAAGAACATGTATCATGGTCTGTTAATGTCTAAGTATATGAGGTGGGAGTGGGGAAGAGGAACAAGGAAAGCTAACTATTTAGGATTTGTTTTTCATTACAGGAACTTCTGGGTCCCACATGGAATGATTTCACTGCAGTTCTACTTACTCATGCAGACAAGGCAGAAGACGCTGGATTCAGTGAGGAAGCATACTTGCACAGTGCCTCAAGTACCCTGGTGTCACTTTTAAGCTCAGTACAGCATAAATACATCTTCCTAGACAACCAGAAGACCATAATTAAGGAGGAAAGAGCTACTGTCTTAAGAAAGCTCTTGAATTTTATAAAACAAAATAATTATCGAGTGCTTTCACTTAAACACAGCAAGGCATAAAATTAGCTTTCAGGTGCTCATTTGTCTATTTGCTATAGTAGGTAATATTTAATAGAAATAAAAGGTTAGAAGTCATAAACTGAAAAAGTCCACACCTATACCAAATACCTCTGAAGAGAGCTGGAGATAACTCTTTAGATTACCAAACTACTTCTCCTTCAGAGTACCTCACACTACTACATCCACAATCATAGCTTCAAACACAAAATTCAAACAAGCTAGTACTCTAAATCATAGTCCTAATATATATGTAGTCACAAATTAGATTTTCTTCTACAGCAAACTATATATTGTAGTTCATACAGAACACTGTATGAATGTAAAAATGAACATGAGTTCAGACTGCAAGGGAGCCCCTATGCTCAATTCTTCAAGTTTTCAGGAGTTCCTCTGAATTCCAAAGTTTGTGAAGAGCTTTCAAGTATTAAACGCTAAAATTTACCTACTGTAAAAGTACTTCTTTACCCTGACTAAGAATAAGTTAGAATTCAGATTCTGAACTTCAAGAAGTTTGTTTAATAAGACATTACTGGCTATGTAGTTTACACAGCAGGTAAAATAGCTCCTATGTGCTTAACACTTTTTCAGCACATTTAAAAGAACCAATACTATTGCTTATTCCCAGATGCATGAAAAATTAATACGGTTTACAGGCACATACAAAACTCACTTGAAAAATAAAACTATTCACCTCTTCTTTTGTGCCTGTTCCTTTTAATTTTATTTATTTCATTTTGTTTTCTCAACCATTTTACTGGATGAAGTTCAAAGCCTACAAAATCAGAATGGCTAAGTTTTTTTCATTTCACTGGTTAAAAAAGCGCTTACTGTTTCAGTGGTTAGACAGTAACTAGTTAATTAAATATTATATGCCAAAGTATCTGAACTATCTCTAAACAGTTACTTAAAAGTTTATTGTAAATTGATCTAAAATAGTTATTTCCAGATTACTAAAAGGCAGGAATTAAAAGGAACAATTTGAGGCTATTACCACAGCAACCGTGACTGCTTGTACTACATTATTATGAAACAATTTTAACAATTGAAGAAGCTATTTCTGTTAAAACCAAAGCATCTTCTTTATAAGATATCACTGCACAAAAATACATTAAAAGAAACAAACAAAAAAATCAATTCATTTTATACCTGTCTGGTCATTGGAAATAGATATTTTTATGGTAGTGTTTGACTAGCTCTGGTAACCTATTTGCTCTTCATTCTTTCTTAGTACTATCCATCATTTGGAAGGAAATATGGACTAGCCAGATAACTATTTCAGCAAAATGACAATTTTAATCTTACTAACATGATAACAGCTTAACTGTGGGACAAGAAATGACACCCATTTGTCTATTTTAGGGCACAAAGGGCCATAGTTTAATCTTCCCATTACAACTGTCTGCAGACTACTCAGACAACACAGCCAAGAACAAAGTTGCACAAGTTCATAATATATCTGAAAACTCCTTGTATGAAAAGGAGAAAAACTATCATTAGGGATGGTAATGGTAGGACAAGGGGTAATGGGTTTAAACTTAAACAGGGGAAGTTTAGGTTAGATATAAGGAAGAAGTTCTTCACAGTGAGGGTGGTGAGGCACTAGAATAGGTTGCCCAAGGAAGTTGTGAATGCTCCAACCCTGGCGGTGTTCAAGGCCAGGCTGGACAGAGCCTTGGGTGACATAGTTTAGTGTGTGGTGTCCCTGCTCATGGCAGGGGGGTTGGAACTAGATGATCTTAAGGTCTTTTCCAACCCTAACTATTCTATGATTCTATTAAAAGGTAACAAGAAGAACGAAAACAAGTGTGGTCTTTACTGACCTGCACCTCTTGAAGAGCAGTTAGCCCACCAGGGACATGGCAGAAATTTTTCTTTATTGAGATGCTCTTGCTCCATAAATCATCTAAACATCTAAACCTTTTAGCTGTCCAGAAAATATGTTTGCCTGCCTACAGTTCTACCATGAACAAGCCTTGGCGATGAAGTCTTGAGCACTGAGTGGTTCATGACTGTTGACAATCCTTAACCTCAAAGACAATAAGCATGGTGAATGAGTGAAGTGTGAAAGTGTTGGAGGCATAACACATTCTGTACCCTCTGAAAGAGCAGTCAAACAAAAAGGGTATTAGCCATGCATTTCATGTTTTTTATTGTGCTTGCACTACTTTCCATCTCAACATCTGAAAAAGCTTATAACAACCATTTATTTATTTAATTCCACTGTTTGCCATGGTCTCTGCCCTGCAGACTCCTTTCCCTTTCACTTCAAATGGAACTCCTTTGTATGTAGCAACACACTGGTCACTGGTATGAAGATCAGGTTGGATTTGCTCCCAAATCTTCTTCTTGGGATTAAGTTCCTTCTCAGGATCTCCTGTTTCAAAACAAAGAGTAACCTAATAGCACACAACACAGAAGGCAGAGAAAGAGATCTATGTATGTAGGCTGTCACAAATGTGTACATAACATCACCACACACACTTTTAAGTGGGGGGAAAAAATTCCCAAACACTACCTACAATTCTCAAAATAAATACTTTTAACTGGAACCAGGGATAGTCTATGAAATACCTCCAGAGCATATCTCAAAATGCTGATTTTTCAGGAGAAAAAGGGGTTTAAGTAACCGACTACAAATACTGTCAAAAGGAAGAAACCAAACCATTTCTAGTTGTTGGTTTACACAATTTACTAGAGATGAAAAGGGTTCCTAAGAATTAAGCAGATGTGGACCACAGAAATACGCTACTTACCTGTGTTGACACAGGTTTGCCAACATCTTAAATTTAGGAATGAATCAATTTTCATAAGCAATTAAGTGCATTTGGCAGGTGCCCTTAGAGTGGAGAAATATTGAGCTTAAAGAAAAATAGTCCAAAATTAGGATACTGACACCATTTTCAACACTGCTTCTTCTACTTTTTGTACTATTTGATGACAAGTTCTGGTGCTTAAAGTATCAGAAGCATTAGCAATCAGCTTGTATTATTTCAGCAATTATGGCCTCAGTCTCTGTAAGTCTCAGTTCCCCGTTCCTGTGTGCACACTGTGATAAACTATGTAGGCCCTAGAAGCATTGACAGTTTAACTACATTAGCAAATCTAATTATTTAAGACTCTCTAACGACCACAAGCCAACTATAAGGCTACAGGGACTTTATCGTATGTGTTTCTAGTAGCTGGTTGAAATTCATTACTTCTTGGTGTATTCCTGACTGGATGACCAACAGATGGTCAAATGAACGATTCTCATTCCTCCTGTTTTATTGTTTTTCTCCTTCAGATATTTCCAATGGTTCAATCTACTCATATTCTCAATGCCTGCAAAAGTAAGTTACTTCTGCCTGTAGAGAGGTCTAACTTCTGTAACTTCTGTATCTGTAACTGTGTAAGAGAAGTGGACCAGACCAGATTTCTCTGTTAAGTAAGCTAGCCTTGCCAGAGCAAAACTCAGTAATGCAGTTATTTCACAACCACAGTGCACTTAATATTTAAAAGAAAAATCAGTAATACCATTAAAAAATTAAACATTTAGAGCTAATTGTGCATTTTCACAAAAGTAAAAATCCTGCTTAATGCTCAAGTTCATAAATAAAGACAGACTTGGACTTAGACCAAAGTGAATGCATACAAACTAACAAAATCATTAAACACAATGTTAAATGATCTGTGCATTTCCTTCCCCCTCCTTAAATATAAAAAGCAAGCAGATTTTTTTTTAGTAAGAAAAAACCTCTGACTTTTATTATAAAAACCATGCTTTGGCTGTTTCTTTGGAATCCTATGTCAAGCTCCCTTGGGATCTGTGGTGGGCTCATATTAGATTAGAATAGGCACCAATTTTAAATATTACCAGAGCTTTATGCTGTGCATTTGCCTATGAATTCTCCTCATTGCATTCCTTCTTCCCAGAAAATATTCTTTAGAAGGGTTTCTATAAATAAATTGAAACTTGTACAGGCTTAATAAGCTTCTCACTCTCTTTACATAAAAAGAACCAAATAAGAGGTCCCAAATTTTGTTAAACATGTCATTCAGTCTGGCAGTTTAAATATTACAAAAGAATTTCTCATAATAAACAAGAAATCTCTCCATTTTGTAACAGCTCAATAGCTATTGAAAGAATGTGTAAGAAGGGGCAAAAAGATGGGGTGATGCGTGTGACCTTATGAAAAATTAATACTCTTAGCTGCTGTGGATTGTGACTATACAACTGAAGGAAAGCATCCATCCACCAAAGCTTTGATTAAAGAAACTGATAAATACAGGCTAACCACTGCACTCCACTTTTTGCACTTTTTATTTTTCTAAAGAGATAGTTATTACTAAACTGCCAGGGTTTCTTAGCCCAGAATCATTACTTTATTACATAACTTGACAGATTTGTGGGTCCTGTGATATTTTTGCACTGAAGTGCAAAAATTGTCAAAGTGTCAATTATACTGCTATTAGAAAGAAGATTTGGCAGTTAGCTGTGAAAACTCCAAGAATTATTGCTGTCTTACTGTGTGGGAGGGTATAGTACTTACGGACATACAATGGAATAATTTTTTAATGGCTTATAAATTGGACCACTTTAGGAGGACAGAAATTTGGTGAAGTTCTTAATACAAATAAAGGTCCAACAGATCTTGAAGATTCATGTACTAGAGTATAAGATGGTGTCAAGTTCACTTAAGGGCAACATCAAACAAACAGAAAAGGACACTCCTCCAGACAACAGCATTTCTTATCAAATCACTTGCCTATAAACACTCAAGATAGCTCTAGGAAAACTCTCAAGTCTTTGCAGAAAAAAGTCCAATTGCTTTGAATCAAGACACCATGTGTTTACTTTGACTAAAAGGACCAAGGAAAATTAGCCTGTATCTCATGAATATTTTTTATGGTGGAGAGAGAAGGTGTAAAAATAACTTGATTCCAAGCTGCTTGATACACAGCTGCATGTGTTTTAGAGTTGCTTTGTTGTTGCTGCTGCTGCTTCTGTTGCTTTCATGTTGTTGCTGCTGCTGCTTCATAGGCTTTCATACTTCAAACTAAAATAAGAGCCAGCTGTTCTTTCAATTTTCATTTCAAGGACTTAAAATGAATCTTTATGCTTTAGAATAACTTGATCAGAATGTAAATGTTTAATTACAAATATTGAAATTAAATGACATCTGACACAGCAAGGATTCTACCCGCCTCATTACAGTACCACGAAGTGCCAGATTGCCTTCGAGGAGATACCAAACCAATCAGAAGTTGATAATCACTTGGATGAGAAGGTAAGTAGCAACAATCTTGGTCTCTAGCTAAAACAAAGCAAACAAAAAAAACCCAAACCAAAGAAACAAACAAACAAAAAAAAAAAAACCAAAACCCAAAAACCCAACCCAAAACACTAAAACAAAACCAACCAACCAACCAAAAAAAAACCCCAAAAAATCAAACCCCAAACCCCCCGTGAACAAAACCTAATGATCTGTATTAGTATCTTAGTTTACAAAGCCAGTATGCAAAAGACAAGCATGCAATAAAAAGTTAAGTTACTTCCCTGTATTTTCCAAGATTTGGCAGGTGACTAAGTATTTTCAATCCTTTATTTGTACAATTTTAATATGCTGCTAATAAAATAGTTTGAATATAACTAAACAAGTAAATTTAAAAAAAAAAAATGCAACCAGCTTTAAAATACTGTTTTATCTGCTTCAGCACTGACGTCACGTTGCATGCTCATTTCCTCCACTTTCCCAAATACCTACTTACCAGGAAAACCATCAAAAGTGATTCTATCTCCAGGTACTGCCCCGGGTGGGGGAGTCAGAATTTCCACTTTTTCTGGGGAGCTGGCACACATCACCATTGCTTGAGATACTACCCCTCTCATCTTTGCAGGCTTCAAGTTACAGAGTAGTATTGCCATTCGATTCTGCATCTTGGGGGAGGAAAACAGAAGGATGTGAGAAGTTAAGTGTCACATGCTTTTGGGGATTCCAGTTGTTTCATTACAGCAAAAGAACTACAATGAAGATACCTTAATATGGACATGAATCATACAGGAACAGATGCGCGATTTTAATGCCTGAATACCAGAAACAACATTTAAACCACTTGAGAGTTAGCCAGGGAATAAGGGAGTAATTGCTGAATTGTGACATACTTACGGAAATACAAAATATGCAATTCAAAAATCCCCAAACCAGGCAATGCATTTCACCCACATTCCACCTTTACTCACTCTAGATCAGCATTTCAGTCTACTTTCAATAGAGGACTATTAACCAAGCAATTTCCATTTAATATTAATAGTAAAAACAAACAAACAAACAAACAAACAAACAAAACCCCCAACCCAAAACCCATCCTACAAATTAGACTACCTCACGGATAAAAATTTCAAACTCTGTACTGGAAACATATAGGAGTTTTACATAATCAGCTCACTTGAAGCTTAAATTTTACTTGTTTAACCCAAATGCTTTGAATTTTTTTTTAGCCACTAAATATGGCTGCATGTACTGTGCATTGCAGTTTGTTAGAACAAAATTGTAAAACTAGTTTTCTTCCTTTTTTGTTTTATTTTAATAAAAATAATAAACCAGAGAAAACATACTTGGTTAGGGGAAACTACCACACTTAGGCCTAGAAAACACCACCTTTTCAAACTGAATAAAATTTAAACCTAGAACAATCTTAAGAGACAGACAGAAAGTAAGAAGCCTTATTTCCCATACTCCTACTACTCATCTCTCTATTTTTGTATTTTGTTCTTTCTTCATTACAAAATAAACTTTAAACAGAACTGAAGGATTAATACTTGATCATATGAGTTTTATTCAGTATTCTGATTACAGCATATTTTCTAAGTAGAACAATTTAAAAAGAAAAAATATAAATATCCAAAATGAAGCAGTTATAATGAAAAGTTGATCTTGCATAAGCTCTAAGGAAGCCCATTGTCTGAAAATTCCTTCAGTTACTGCTACGTAATCGCCCAAATCACAAGAAAAGGCTATGTCAGTGCAAATTGTAGATATTATCTAGCACTGAATAAAAATTAGCAAATGGATAAATAGAAGAAACAAGATTTCTGCATTTGGTACTCAATTTTAGTTTGGACTAACTGGAAAAAATTCCAAACTCCCAAGCATTGCTTTTTTTATCACAGATTATACAATTGACAAAACCAGACTGTATTAATACAGAAATGGAGATCATCATCTTCAGCAAACTAACAGGAGAGAAAACCAACCTAGCATCACATCAGTCCCTCCTCTCCAATTAGTGGCCCCAATGCTTATATATATTGCATGATATTGTTGTATAAGTTGATTATTACTACAAAATTAAGAACTATTTATCAACATTATTCAAAGATACACATTATTCCATCACTTTTACTAGGAAGTATCTTCAAATGCTTTTGAAAAACTGCTCTAAACAAAGATTCACATTGATTTCACAAATTAATGGTAAGAAACCCACAAGGTTAAATAAATATTTTTATAAAACAAAAAGAAAATCCCACCCCAAGATGTTCAGCCAAAACCAGAACACTGCTATTTGAAGGGTGTTTTTTTCCTTTTTATTATAAATGGTTCAATTTTTAACTACTCTTCAGATAAATGACAACTCCCTAAGTATAGAGAAAAAAAAGAAATTAGACCTAAACAAATGCTTCCTAACAATGCAAAAGTTTTCAGTTGTTGTGGGTTTCCAGAAAACACAGCCTTGACTACAAACCCCTCTGTATTCAGGCATTCCTTCTGTCAAGGAAGTTGCTCGGGTGTCATTCCATCTGCACTGCTCTTAAGAGACCTTTATACAGTAAATGATAAATTAAACCTGAAAAGTGTCAGCTACAAAGAGTCAGATCCAGTAATTCTACTGATGACCACTCTCTGTAACCACACAGATTAGAGAAACATATAAATGACCTAGTTTTTCAAAGCTAACTATAAAAGTAAATTGGGGAGGTTCCTGGCAGATAGGTAAGATTGGGCAGAAAAGAACAAAGAAGAAACCTGTCTCCCATTATGTGAAAAGTTCTATCAGAAATACAGGGCGTTACTGAAAGGAGCTGAAGGTGACACAGATAGAGAGCGTTTCCTTCTGCATAACTCTTACTGTCCAGTAAAGCAAATTCTGGTTAAGAACTATAGGGCAAATCTCTGCACTTAAAAGGAAACAAACAGAAGCAAGTCTATGTCTAGAGGGAACTGATAAGGCTTTGATAGCTCAGGGTGTGTTTGATACATAAATAAACTGAGACTAAGCAAAGGATATTCAAATGCTATTTCCTTGTAGAAACAGTAACAACCTCTGCTGGCCTTCCAAAGAGCCTTTTGTTTCAGAAATCCTGGAACTCCAAACCTGACAACTCAACTAGTGATAAACTCATTTAGTTTCAGCAAAAATGTTAGTTGTGACAGTTTCTAAGGCTGGACACCCAGGTACTTCACCAACACCAATGCCAACACCAACAAAAAGCCCTCCTCAATCTATCATATTCTTGTCTGTATCTTAAATTTGCCAGCCCAGCAAATGTAACTTACAATCATTTTTTGTGAGAGGATGCATCACAGCTGTATCTGTTAGGAAGTGTATAGTCTCATTTTTATACCAGAAACTTTTCCTTTCTATTTAAATGGCTTCATCTTTTTTCTTTCTAGATCAGTATTTAAGGGTTGATCTTGTCCACCCAGGAATTAGCAAATGGTACTGGAATTTACACTTCTTTTTCTTAGAATGGTAATTATATTCTTTATACATACTCTTGATCTTCTGATTTTCCTTGTCTAGTCGGCACGGAAAACATGTTTCTATAAATCATAAAGAACTGCGACCACAGCATGACTCTAAACGTATTGACACATTCTGTGTAATATAAGACACCTTTCTTAAACCATTTTTCCTCTGCTTTTGTAGCATTAGGCTTCAAGGCTATATTAAATGCTACTGTGTTTCTTTTCAGATATGAAACAAATAGAAATCTGTGTAACCAAGCTTGTGACTTGGAAGTTATGTTTGCTGGCAATACTTCAAGATTACATTTTTATTTTAGAGAAACCCTCTCCCTAGAGGGTTCATGGAAGGGAAGAATTGTTCTGATGATGACCTCTTCTCTTCTTGCTAGGTTTAAGATACATGCCCTGCATTCTCATCCTTCACTTTAGACCACTGGCATGAGCATCTCCTAGGTTAAAGGGGATTTCATGAGGCAAAAAAAAGCAATACTTGAGAATGGTCTGTATTTCAAGAGTAATTGCCTGAGACAGGTATTGATGCTAGCAGCACACAGAGATCCACTTCAAAAAGCCAGATGTAGTGGCAGAAAAGCTGTATATTCATGCTGACATTTCAGAATGTTCTCCAGTTGTCCCCAGCTGCTGCTCAAAGAGCCAGTATTAGCATGGTCCACCTCATGCTTCAGTTCCACATCCCTGTTACCATCTATAAACGATAATTGGGAGTGCAACTTCTGACTTGGCTTCACCACCACCAGTGGTGCACAAAAACACAATGTATGACATATAAAGTGGGCATGCAAGAAGTTTTCACACCCATAAATAACTTGCACTGCATACTGAAATGTTAATTGAGATATACACTGTGCTGTTTAAGTAAAATCAGATGGCACAAATACAACAAACACTGCTAAATTAGAACATCAAACACTGCAATCATAAATAGCTGAATGTTTGCTGAATTACACTCCTAGTCCTTGATCTTTTATACAATCATAGAATAGTTAGGGTTGGAAAGGACCTTAAGATCATCTAGTTCCAACCCCCCTGCCATGAGCAGG